TAAATAATACAAATACAATATATCGTAATATCTTCTAGCGATAAGATTAATGAATAATAAGTTGACAATCATAAAATAATTAAAACTATGATCATCTATCTATATATCTATCATCTATATATATTCCACATCTATATATATCTACATCTATATCTATTTGTAAATTACATTATAATAAATTCATATATGAAAAATAATCTTATATTTTAATTATATTTAGCTATATCTCAGAATACATTTATGGGAATAACACAATTAGAACAATTTATATTTTTTAAGTAATTCTGTTTTACTGTGAGAGAGTAACCATACATAAACAAATGCCTACGATCAAATCTTGTTTAATTATAGAAGATTTATTTATGTACCTTTGCCGCCTATTCTGAACGGGCCTAAATTCCCGTAAGCTTCGCAGATACCATCTATTAACATTCTTGATATACGCATATTGACCTCCAAACGAAAAATTTCATTGAGAGAGTGCGGTCTCACATCCCTGAAACGTATCATTTCATAACCTTTAATAGTTGCATTTGAAACAGTTACTTCTGCATGTAGTTCGCCACTATCAATTATCTCGCGTTCATGTTCGAGAAAGTATGGATCCAAAGGTGGAAAGTCAAATTCAGGGAGGCCTGTTTTTAGAATATACACATTATTATTATTGGTATATATATTTTAAGAATTTAATAACAAGTTGAAGCAGAATACCTTTAAACTTTGCAGTCGGCCTAAATCCAATTTCATAGATTTGTATGATCATGAAAGTTTGTATGAAATTGTTACATTAAGTAACAGTAGTAATTGTAGTTTTAGAGCTACATGTGCAATTGTATATGTAGAGTAACACGCATGGAATTCTTTTCGGATTTTTTTCGGAAAGCAGCAATTAAAACGATGAAATCTACTTTAATAAATAACTTTTACGATAAGTGGCCATACTTCATTAATTACATGTTTTAAGCAGGAAGTGTAGTTGGCTGCATCGCGTTTGCAGGTTGGCACAGCTGCGTGGAAATAGAAGCAGAAAAACTTAACTATTTCTATGTAAATCTAATGCAGTTCAGATATAAAAAAGTGATATCTTTTTCTATTTCTTTGACGATATGGAAAAACAAAAAGTTTTAAAATACGGGAAAATAAATAATCAAAGAAGACTTACGAAGATTCAATTTTTCCGCCGAACACAGTCCAAGTATTACACTGAATGCACTAAGCGTACGGAAAATCATTCTGTCTATTACGACATCCGAGCATAATCTTAATAACTATGTTTAAAACCGAACGCTATATTATCTGCTGTTACATCGTGATACTGAGTCATGTGACGCAGCTCATTTCAATTATTCAATAAGCAAAAAAACATTCATCATTAGATTGCTAATGATATGTTAAAATATTATGAATTTTATTTTCTTTGTACAAGGTGTTCGAAGTTTTTTTTAAAGTAAAAGGTCCGAATTAATTTTCGTATCAAATATGTTTATTTATGTTTAGGACAGGTTTATGTAAACTTTTTACTTAAAATAAATGAAAGAATCACCCCCTTGTCTACGACTAGGTACATATATATATGTATATATATATATTACACATATATCAAGACCCGTGCTTCTAACTTTAAGTTATGGATATGTATAATACAATAAATCATAAAAAGAAAACTCAAAGAGTATTTAATGTGACATGTATATACTTTCAAAATATAAAAGAAAATAATATTTTGATATGGAATGAAACAGAGGAGATTAGGAGGTCCGAAAGAATTCTATAACTCAGAAGCGCACGTTAATATTTTTATCTTAATATTTATTTAGGATTAAATAAACTTCTAAACTTCTTCTGGAAACACCTTTGAAAAAGACAGTTTCGAAAATAAGCGATTGAGCATTTTGCTAAAATACGTGTCCCAAACGTCAGAAGATACTTGCACTACTATTCGATATATCGGCGGCCAATTATCATTCACAAATTTATGGGCGAGTTCATCTGCAAGTAAAAATTCTGTATTATGATATATTAAAAAAAAAAAACAAATCGATGAATATAATCGCAATACAAACTACTGAAGAGTGAGATGCGACCAAAAAGAATTAATGAACGTTTATTCTGTAAAGATGTTTGAAATTTTAATTTTCAAAGTCATTGGTTGTTTTGGTTATGGTTAAAGTTTTTTCCACTCTATTCATATCTGTACTCATGCGTGAAACAGAAACTTAAAAGTATAAATATTTTACAGAGCAAGAAATATATTTTTTTACAAAGAATTTATGTCTATTTTATGTTTGATATTTCGCTCGAGTTCTAAGTAAAGTCAATATGATGGAAAGAAATCTACGAACGTTGAAACAATTACAGGCTTTTAAAGAATAAATATAGAATATCATAAAAAGTTTGTTTTAATTTGGTTATGCTTATTTATAAACATTTTTTTTTTTAAGAATATAGACACACGCCATCAAATTCCAACAGGATATAATTAATTTTTTGACTGAACCAAATCATTGGGTTTTCTTCATATTGTCATTGTATAAATGCTGAATGAAAACATCTAAGAACTGTTGATCTGCAGCATGAACCACTTGGTCAGTGTAGCATGTTATTTTACTTGGAGTCCTTGATCTAAAGTATCCACTTAAAATGCTAATAAGTAGTGATGATATGAATAACTTAAGAATTTAATTTAAAATACATGTTGTGCACAATAGACATATAGAGATGTATGGATATATTTCAAGAAAGGAGATATGGAACGTTTTAATCTAAGTCTTATAAAAGATGTTACAAATAATCCTATATAATATACTATGCATCAGAATTCATTAGATTTTGCTTTTTTTTAATTGTATGCATATAAAGTTATTACTTTGTAATTTATGGAAAATGGAAGTAGAAAGACAGAAAGACATAAATCGGAAAAACGAAATACATAATTTAATGAAACAAAAAAAATATTCTTTTGATTATTTCTTGACATTATATTCTTTCGACATACCTTCATTTTCGAGAAATCACAATAATATTTTTATTCCTTTATATAAATTCCATTAAATTTGTATTATATTATGCAAACAGTTATATTGTCTACCTTATTAAATCTATGTTAAAAACTAAAGTTATATTTAAATGATTTCTTACTCAATTCTCGATTGCCTTCGAAAAAATTATCCAATTTCAAATTAAAACTTTTAACTATTGGACTTGTGCGGAAATGTTCTATAATCCACGTATCATTTTTTACTGGCCCTGATATATCCCATGTTCCTCTGATGCCTTCTAGAGTTAAATATAATTTTCCTGTGGTATAAATTATTATAATATAAATATAAGATCGTAATAACTTTCAATGAAAAGATTACTGATAAAAGAGAACAAATGCAAAATAAAGAAAATAGGATTATTAATTTTTAAATATTGAAACTATAAAATAAAATTGTCATTACAGAATAATCCCAAACTGTAATTAAATTTTAATATATGTTGCAACGTTTATGCAACTGCAACAAAGTTGCGTAATCTTAAAACATAATTTCTATTAATGATCCTTTCTCTTCTCAGCGGTAATATATTCGATACAACAATTGCTAATATTTAAATTTAATCTACTTGTATAGAATTTGCTGTTGGCCCTTACTTGTTTTTATTATTTTTCTACTTACGTTAATTGAATAGGATTTATTTATTGGATAGGATTTATTTTGTACCTTTTCCACCCATTCGAAACCCGCTGAAAACACCATATGCGGCACAATCACCATAAGTAACTATTTTTGGTATACGTATGTCAATCGCCAAACGGAAGATGTCATCGTCGAAGTGAGTCCTTATAGCCACAAAACGAATTAACCGTAAGCCCTCGGCAGTAAGATTTGATATAGTTACTTCTCCGTGTAATCCGCCATTATCAAATACATATTTGTCACTTTCATAAATAAATGGATCTATAGGTGGAAATTCGAATTCAGCCGGAAGACCTGACATAATAAGTTGATTAATATTGACACATGTATATTATATCTGGAAACTTTAATTACTGTTATGATCAGAAAACATTGAATTTTTCGATTAAATTAGATAAAACTACAATTTATATATTTCACTTAATTCGTATATTTGTGGAAACATATATGAAATTGTCACATTAAACAATAATTACATACGTTCTCAGAATTAGATATATTGTTGTATATGTCTTATAACGTACAAAGATAATTGATCGAAAAAAGTTTCTATATGAAAGTTGAAATGTTTAAGGAATACCTGCTACAAAAAGTGGCCATGCTTCTTTAATTGCGTGTTTTAAGCAGGAATTGTAGTCGCTTGAATTGCGTGCGCAAGTCGGCACAACTGCGTGGAAACAAACCGAAAAATAAAATTATTTGCTTTCGAATAAAGATATTGCTAACCTATAATACGGTGTTGATTTTGAAAGTAAAAATATTACCATTCCGTTTTTTACATCGACATTATTGTAAGATACTACGGTGAAAATACTGAAAGCACTGAGAATTGTCAAAAAAACACTTACGAAGATCGAATTTTTCCGCAATGCACGATCCAAAGACTGCAACGCTTAATATAGCAAAAATGTGGAATAACATCTTGTCTAGGTGTTTTTCACGAGCCTGCCTTGAATCTCTTCGATCACTCTATTTATATGTATACGTAACGTTATATAACGTTATATAACACCAGCCATCTTATTCACTTTGTAGACTTTAGCATGTACTAATATCATTATACATTTTATTATTCTTTTTGCTACTTTTCTATGTCTGCCTTTTATATTGCTATTTTTCTATTGCTGCCACAATACTTGTTTCCTACTAAACTATTTTTCAGACGAAATACATTTGTTTCCCGCTAACAATGATTTAGGATAACAATGGTTTATGACGCTAAACGCTGCTATATTTTTTATAAGCTTGCTTTATAAACTTAGCGCGTAAATAGTTGTGGATAAACCCAATAGTGTTGTTGTTCAATAAATGCGTTCATCAAAATATTAATATTTTTTTTATATCGCTACCTGTTCCCTAGCCTAGGAAGCAGGTAAAAATCTGCTTTCTGACCGCAACTTGTTTACAAACTATTTGCGATCGCTCACGTCATATTGTATCCTGTTTATAAGTTACACTGCAACTTTTACGCGAGCCACGGATCGTTATATTAAACACATCGATAAGAACGTTCGTTTCGCTTGGCAGTCACGCCGCGCTCATCGTTAAAACTGACTTCGTGTCGTTAGATAGCAGATTGTTATAAACGGATTGCGCTTTTTTTCTCGTAGAAGCTGGTAGAGTTCGGCTGTTTGATTCGCCGTGGATGTCACATATATCTCATCGTATTATATTAAAATGTACCGCTGCCGATGTAGCGTTTACTTAGTCCTCGAGACATAACGAGGGAATCTAAGGCGAGGTTAAAGCCTGCGCAAAAGCAGCCGACACTGTAAAATGCGATGTAAAAGCCATGAATTCAGTTACGTGTGGTTTCTTACGCGAAAGGATAAAAACATTATTTCCGAAATAAGATTATAATTTTAGCGATATGCCCCAGTAAGACAGATGGACTTTGTGGTGTGCACACACACGCATATATTTTCAACGCGTTTCGGCTGAATTGAGATCGTTCCACGTGTGCGACCCGTATGAGGTAATTTAAATCCAACTGTTACGCGTAAATCCCGCGCGATGCGCGACGTGTAACACACGTGACGTGGAATCACACGCAACAATACGTCTTCGTCCGGAAAATGCCGCAGAGCGAAGACGAGGGAGAGACTGGTGCCGCCACCTAAGAATATTATAGTATTATTGAGAATAATAAATCCCCGAGGATGAGCCGGAATTAATTGCAGGGCCGATTGCAAGCAATTTACGACACTGATTGCAGCTGAGATGAGAACCATCTTGGGAAAACCTTTCGGACGATGGAAGAAAAGGAAACGGCGTCGCTATCTGCCTTTCTCCATCTTTCTCTCTTTCTCTCATACTCCTTCTCTCTCTCTCTCACTCTCGTCTCTCCTCTCCTTTGAAGCGCGGATTTGAATCTACGTTTTACGGCGCAATTAATTCCCCAAGGAGAGTTGCATTTCTTGCTCCGCCGGGGCAAGGAAAGGGATTTGCGAACGGCGAGGTTCCCGTAGTCCCGTAGGAATCCGGCAGCCAGACAGGGACAGGGTGAGCGTGAGTAAGGGAAAGAAACGGGAGGGGGTGCGAAAGAGAAGAAGAAGGTCGGCGAGGAGATGGCATACCGTTTCCGCAGGCTAAGGGATACACGACGTCTCCGCGCGACGGTATTATCGACGACCGCTAAGCGCCCCGCTTTATCCCTGTGCAGTTCTGTAAAGTTAATGATTTAAGAACGTCTCCTGTGCCAGCGGGATTCATTTTTCTAGGATTGGAGAGGGGCAATAAATATAAACGATGGATCTCTCTCGCGGAACGGCTGAAAAATCTCTCCGCAAGGCGGCCGGGCGCGTCTCGCAGCCGGTGTTTCGCCACGGAGACGAACAACCTTAACTCCCGTCATCTGCATAATTGCGCGCTGCGTTCGAGTTCACGAAAAATATCTGCGTTCATGAAACCCCATACGCTTCGTCGGCGGGAATTCATTCGCTTCACGGATAGTTGAATTCCGCTCCGTCGAGAAATCCCATTCCAAATCTCTCCCTTCTTCTTCGGCGAATTAGCGACTCTCATATGCGCCGCTGGAGATTTGTTTAAGCAGTACTCCGAAGAAGCGCTACACGTCGGCCCTTCTTCACCGTCGACGGGGTGAGTCGAGTTACGGAATTTTGCAAGAAGCCGAATGAAAGGGGACCGGCCCTCCCTTGAGATCCGCTCGGATTTTCCATGCCTGGCCGAAAGGGGGATTGAAAACGCGACTATTGCGAGCGCTACATAATCCAGGCGGCATCGCGTACGCGCAATCGAACTGGTTAAATCATTCAATCGCTCGCCACTTTGCGAGCGCACGGTAGTCACGCTCCTCGCGCGACTCTGTAATTTGCAATTCAAGAGATTTCTATATCCGGCGTGAACTCGACGGCTCGCCGGAGACCCGTGTCACGTACGGCAAGCGCACCGAGTAAGCACGCCGGGTGTACCTTTCGCCGAGCTCGCTCTCGCGTCTCCTCGCCAGGGACAAACGCGCGCAGTCGGCAAAGGAACTTCTTATTCGCACGCAAGAAGAGAGAAGTGCCGTCAACGGCGCCGCTTCTTCCGCCCGCTGGGGAAATCCAATACGAAGTCTATCCATGTATATTTGAAGATCGGCGCCGCTTCCCTCCCCGGAATTTTCCCGACCTATTTACGACTGTTCGCCTCAGTCCGTCCGGGACGATTTTGATCTGTCTGCGATATGATAAGTGTATATATCTCTCCGCAGGAGCGAAAAACGCGCGAACTCTACCCGTGCTTCGCGTCGCCTTTACGTAGGGTAGTGCGGATCTGAGTAACGATCCGGTCGCTTTATGCCCCGGAGAATACGGCGACACCTGTTATTTAAACGGCGCTTACGCCCGCTCGGAATCTTCTCGGCACGAGCGATGATTATTCTTGAGCGTCGGCGTTTGAGATCGTCGTTGCTGTGTCATCGTCGTCGCGGACTCGAATGAGCGAATCTATTTCACGTATTCGCTTTGACATTCATACGGAACTGGATCTCATTGTGTGAGAACGTCTGTCGGTTTGCACAGCACTGAAAGAAGAATTTGGTAATGATTACCAAGATTTGGTGAATATGTTTAAACCAAATGTTTCATCACTGTAACCAAATCATTTAGTTCCACGTGCAATAATAGTTATTGTATACAATATATATATACTATAAGGGTGTTCCAAAATTCCCGCATCTGGAGTTTAGAGGGAGTGATTTTTGATAAGAATGAACTAAATTTGGTTAAAATAATCTAACATTTGATTGAAGCATATTCACCAAATCTTGTTATCAAATCCTTCTTTCAATATAATGACTCCATCGCCGCACCTATGAGCCGACGTTAATTCACCTGCCGCGTCTAACGTGTGATTATTATCCAATGAAATCTTATCGTTATCAAGCTTCTTTCCCCCACCGATATCATATGGTGAGATAAATCTGCCGTCGCAAGAACGTTGCTTAATTAAAAATGTTATCCGGCGCTATCGGATAGGCAAGACGTAAGATCTCCTTACCCCCTCCCTCCCTCCCATTGGTAAGAACCCCTTATGTCATTTATCAAACGTTGCAGGAGTTCCGCGGGGGTTACGAAATGAAACTAATTAAGAAGATAACGGAGAGATTGTATCTCGCGCTCTCTGTTACACATCGCGTTGACGAATTACGTCTCTCTTCGAAACAGCCTTACATTCGTTACGCTTCGCCATTTTTATTCTTTCAAAGAAGTACGGGGCAACGTTTAATCTCGTCGTACTCCTCTCCCCTTCCCCCTGTCTATCCCAAATCTATTTTGTCAGACTGCCAACATTACCTCATCCGCACGTAATCTCAGTTGGATTGGCGTTGCGCGTAGATTACTTCGTCTTTTTCTCCTTTTCCCTCGAGAAAATGTAATCCTTATTTCTGGCTGAATTTAGCAACCTGGTTTAGTAATTTTATCTTGAGACAGGTTTCATTAACTACTAACCGATCCGTCACCATTTATGCAGACCAAAAAGTAGTCAAGGATTTTATTTAACACGGATATTTTATTATCACAGAAGCGAGATATTTCGATGTTTTCGTTGAAATTGCAATATTTCATATCCTCTGTATTAAGGATAATAAAAGTACGTATTGAGAATATCCTTGAAGAATCATAAAAATATATTTTAAATAGACGCAGGGACAGTGTATTATATGAAACCATTTTTAATCATGTTCTTCATATTATAAAATGCACAACAATGAATAGAAATAGAAATAACATACAGGAACATCGTTTTTCGTGTTCCCCCGTCATTCTGTCCCCCGTTTTAATAACGAGCACCTAAATTCGGCAACGACCATCACGGACGGTACACAAAGCTCCCCCCAATTAATAGTTACGTTTGAGCAACATTTACTTACGCGTTATAGCAAAATCTTAATTAAGTTCGCGCTAAGGCGAGATCCAACCGGAAACGTCGCCAAAGCCACCTGCCTCGAAGTTCCCTCCCCCTCGAGAAACCGCCCCCGGTGGGGCTCTACGCGCTTTGCGTGCAGCTACATCAAGCTCGCACCAAACTTTCCACCATGCGGTGTGACTGTTTACACGAATCCGATTTAATCGAATTCGCCTAATTCGGCGGCGCGTTCTCGAAATTCCAAGTCGATCCTGACGAAGCCGACTGCAACGGAGGCAGCCGTTTCTCCGTGTCGCTCGGCCGGTTGCCGCAGTTTGCCGAACAACGAAGATTGGCTGGTTCGAGCAAATTCGGCGGAGGTCAAATTTGCATGTTGTGGACTTAGGTCCGAGGACGCGCAGAGAGAGAGAGGCGAGAAAGGTGGGAGAAAGGGAGGGAGGAAGCGACCGTGACGCGGATCGAAGAAGGGTGAGAGGGACGGCGAGCCACGGGCCAGGGCGAAAGGGCACGTTTAACTAAACTATAGCGGTAACGATGGAATAGTTGGAGCTCATAGCTTACCACCGAAGGTGTGCGGTACTTTAGGCGAGAGGTTGGGGCGATGAGGGCGAGGAGCCAGGCGCGGAACCGTGGAGAGGTAACCGAGGAGGAGGTGAGGCGG